TAAACGTAATAGACTCCAGGTGCTGCGGAAAGACTGCTCCAGTAGTAATTCTCCAATGTTAACGTTGCCGGAGGTCGACCAAAGTACGTAGGAAGAAACTACGGTGCTCCTGCAAAAATCAGAGATAGAAAGCAGGTGATTAGGATTGATCGACGGCAGTTGAGATGGTGGAGAAGACGGAGAGTCGAAGGCACAACTATATATTTATTCAAAACCCGAGGTAAAGTCAAAGTACAGAGTTTCTGGTTAAAACAAAGTGGTGTACAATATGTTCATTATTTACATAGTAGTAAAATTTGGATAAGTTGATTTTTGAGGACTCCACACAACGTCCAATATAAACAGCTCCACAAGAGCAGGTAAAAGAGTAAATGCACATAGATGTGGACAAAAGCGGTAATCTATCCTTGACGCGTTGTCTGATCATATTTCGGCTGGTAAAAACTAGTTGCAGGTCAGCTGCAGGAAAAGTGCGTTTAACACATTCTGAAATGGTGTCACCTTTGAATGCAAGACTCATAAACAGCTTTTTCTTTGATACTGTGACTTGTCTCGGGGCGGATTCTTTCTTGATGTTACGTTCAATGAACCTTGTGGGATAACCATTGTTAAGGAGATTTGATCGAAGGTTATCTAGTTCCCTATCGATTGTCTCTGCAGAGCAGATTTTACGAATTCTGGAGCATAAGGAATGAATAAGATTTCTCTTTCTCCCTAAAGGTACCCAACTGTTGAAGTTAGTGTACTCCTAATTTTCAAAATTTTTAGACAACACTTGACATTTTTGTTATAGAACAATCTTTAATATTTTTGTAATTTATCCACTTCAACTCTACCCCTTATAACTTTTATCACATATATACGTACATTGACTGAGCAATTATTTAGTGCCACTTAATAACCTTTTTCTGGAATATAAATACAACTGTACAGCTTGAAAATGAAGTCGTTGAAAAGAAATTTCTTCGCTGAACAAAAACTGTGCTTTTACTTGTGAGAACCTTGACAAATTTACTACTTGTCTAAACAAAACACTAGACTTGAATTGAATAAGTGATTGTGATACATATGAGACCTATACGAGAACTCTCTTGCTCAATGCAGTCAGTTGTACTGTTCCTGCTTTGCCAAAAATCCATGGCGAATTTCACCAGTGATATTGTTCACCTAAAAAGTAAACTTTGAGAACGATCCTATTCACATCAAAATACGATTCTTTCAGTAGGATGTGTGTTGCAGGATACTGACTACTACTGTGGTTGTGTGACACAGACAATGGGTTCCAACGGAATATTATTCTCACAGTAAGAATCATTCTGTTTGTTGGTGTTAACGTCTGAATGCATTCCCACAGTTCAATACTGCATTAGTAACAGAATTCTATGTGTATTTGAGCATTCTGTTTCATGTCGTTCAATGTAAACCAAAATCACACCCTCAGTGACTGGTTAAAGAATATAAACTTTATAGATATTAATAGCTGTTCGATAACTTGAATAAATACCGTTTTATTTTTTTGATTTACAGCTTGATTCCACACCGTATTTTTGGTACAAGTATGGAATTGTCAGCATGGATATCGGTAGCCCAAATTTTGCAGGCCGACCATAGATATCAGATGTGCGTCGGTGCGGGCTCGAACCCCGGACCATGTGCATGGTCGGCGAGAGTCCTAACCACTGTGCCACCGACGCACATTACCGTTACTTGCATGTCATGCCTTCTGCTGTTACACTACGTATTCGCCTCCTAGAACACACTCCATTTATTTATATGCAACTCCTTTTTCCTGAAGCTGTGGAGCTCATTAATCTAGGCATTCAATTTACAGTCGGGTGGGCCACAGTTTCGAACCATGCTGGCTTAACAAGGTTCTGACAGCCATGTAGTATCTACCACTAGCCGCCTTCAAACAACATGAGGTTTGTTCGGAATGCATAGGGGTTTCACAGTAACATTTCACTTTTATCATAGTTTACCAACTAGCCTATATACACAAAGAGTAAAAACAGCCAATATAAAATGACAGAGGAAAGACAATCACACAAAACCAACAAGACTGATACCGGTATGAAGAAAGAAAGAACGGAATGCACCTTTTTATAGAGAGTGCAGAGCTTGTCAGCACTCAGGTGACTTAGTCAGTCAGAGTTCACTGAGTATAACTCTATTATGGATAAGATTTTATTTCGATTAATCACACAGTGTTGTACAGTGATATTTACTGATGACGTTCCGAGCACAATTTATTGCTCGTAGCCATATACATACATCCGAGAAAATATATTGCACTGTTTAAGGCACTCTACTCGTACTCATACAGCCAGGTGAGGGCTTACGGCGAGCTGTCATTTGAACTGGTGACGACTAGTGGTATCCGTCAAGGATGCCCATTATCTCCATTTCTATTCAACTTCATCATAGATGTGTTAATGGACTTAACCCTAAGTGACTTCAGCAACTCAGGGATTGACTTGCTACCAGGGAACAATCTCGTTGACTTAGAATATGCAGACGATATAGTCCTACTAGGCGAGGACGCTGAAAAAATGCAGAGTCTTCTGAACACCTTGAGCTGCAATCTACAATTGTTTGGCATGCGATTCGCTCCCGCCAAATGCAAGATGATGTTACAGGACTGACTGGACTACATCGACGCCTAGTTTAAAAATAGGAAGTGAAGTGGTAGAGCACGCTGACCACTTCACTTGTTTGGGGAGTACCATCAGCCAGTGCCAAAGGGTTGATCTCTGACGAAATCTCAGCGCAGATACAGGGGGCTCGTTTCGCATTTGCCAGTTTACGCCGACTCTGGCGTAGACGAGATGTTCGACTATTGACCAAAGGGCGGGTGTACTGCTCATCAGTCCGCTCCGTCCTCCTTTATGGTTGTGAGACCTGGCCACTGAGAGTGGAAGACATGAAAAGACTAGCTGGCTGTCTTTGATCATAGGTGCCTGCGCTCTATTTCCCGTGTAAAGTGGCATAATAAGGTGAGCAACATTGAAGTTAGGCGTCGAGTTCTAGGTAAACAGGGGAAATCAATCGACGAAGTCGTGAAGTTACATCGGCTGAGATGGTTAGGACATGTGTTACGTATGCCAAGTCATCGCCTCCCTCGACGAGCAATGTTAGCGGATATAGGGTCAGGCTGGTAAAAAGCTAGCGGCGGTCAAACAAAACATGTCACCAGTCAATGAAATCCACAACAATTAGTTTAAGTCACGTAGGAAGGTGTAAACTTCCTGGTTGGGGTCCTCGGGACGGTAAAAACCAATGGTTGGAAACAATTGGTGACATGGCTCAAACTCATCGTTCTCAGTGGCGCAGATGCACCCACTCCTTGTGACTTATGATCTCCAATGAAACTGTTTTGTTCTTCCTTATTACTATTCCTTTGTCTCACACCTCTGCTCACTGTCTCTACCATGCTTTTTTTGTACTTTCTTCTCTTGCTTCGCGTGCTACACGGAGTGTGGCGACTTGAACTTCCGCACATTTGTGCAAAGTTCTACGTCGAAAACAGATAGACAGACAGACAGACATACACATAGGGTGGGGACATCTGATACCTTATGTGGGATTTTTAATACAGCAGGAATCAGAGTGGCATATGAGCCTACAAACTCACTCAGGTAGGACAAGCTCTGTAGGTTAAAGGACCCTCTAGGTTGACCCAATTATATAAAATAATATCATTCACAATTTTGGTAAGAATACTGAACACCTAGTCCTGGTACTGGCTGCACATTCTCAGAGAGAATGGGTAGAGGTTGTCTACAACATCATACAGACCGGTGGTGAACCAGCGTTAGGTGATATAAGCTTATTCATCAAGTAGTTGTCAGATGTCACTAACACTAGGTATGGACTGATGATTCGTGGGCATCCCATTGGAAGAAACAACTATGAGATTAGTGTCCCCACGAAGAAAAATAATTCTCACTACAGACACTAAGCGTTGTCTACCCAGAATTTAGACAGTAATGTTGAGAAGTCTACTACTGATCCTTAGAAGGAGTCCCGTTTATTCATTCCACCTTGTATATCATGTTCAGGAGAATACATTCTACAAGAATACCAGCAGTTTCAAGGTGAAGACCTTGATGAACGTTTAGATCTCGTGTCTAAGAGGAAACTATGTAACGTCTGTTTGAAGGTTAACCATATTACAAGGATTGGCTGTCTCCGAGACCCTGTAACATTGAGGGTTGTGGTTGGAGACACTACACACTGCTGCACAGAGGACAAGTATTCTCCGATGATACAAAAAACTATGTGCACATCCACTGTCAGTAGTGTTGTAACATAAATTTGTGCAAGACTATGTCAAGTGAGGTAGCGTTTGTTATAGCACCAGTTCTAGCTAGATATAACGGTAAGTTTGTTCAAACCTGTGCAATTTGGATAGTGGGTCAAAGGCACTGCTTGCCGCAGAGGATCTAGAAAGAGAATCAGGTTTATTAGGAAAAAGGAAAACAATTCCTGTCAAGACGCTGGGCTCACAATCCACTTCATCCAACAGGCAGATACAAGTGAAGGTTTCTCCGCTAGATCACTCCACTCTGGTTACTGTGTTGGAGGAATAGACAGTAAAGGAATTCGCCCAGTTGCGAAGAGCTGTACCTGTACTGACAACAGACCAAATGTCATCGTGGAGCCACTTACATGGTATAGTCCTACCAGACATTAGAAATAAAGATATTCAGGTGCCTAATGGCTGTAGCGTGCCAGAGGTGCATGTGACGACTGATAAAAGTTTCGGTGGAGCTAATGAACCTTTCATCATAAAAGCTGACTTAGGATGAACATTACTGGAATCATGCAATCAGATACTTGGAGAAATCAGTATGCTGAATAACATCTTATCTACAAAAAATTATGGTTATGTTCGAATAGTTCTGTAAGAATGAATTTGGCGACAAATCAAATGGGATTTCTGTTTCAATAGACTCTCTATCTTCGTCGTCGTCCTTGTCTTCAGCGCTATCGACTGTGGAATGGAGGTGCCGTCTACCTCTACAAATCATCATAGTGAACTTGATGATGTCAAACATGATGAGAATCATAAAGCTATATCTTGTAAATTAATAAATAGTGGTACAGATGAATGTCCTTCTCATATGTATTCTTCATCTTCATCTTCTCCTTATACAACTGGGAAATCTCGTAGAAGACGATGTCCAAATGCTAAATCAACATCAAAAGATTTAAACAGCGAAAATATTGCACATAATGCTACTGTTTATAATAATAATATCTCATTTGATGTACATGATGGACACCAGTTTACACGCTTCCTCAATATGATAAGGTACATATACGATTAATTATGCATATTTAATAATAACACTATAGTAAAATAAATATTTATTCCTACCTATGTAGGACACACCAGTTGTAAAGGCGTGAATGATTATTATTTAAATTACATAAATTTGATTTATGGTGAAATTACATGGTTGCTGACTTTTCTGTCTTTAGTTTGTGTGAACAATGTGTCAACTAGTCATTCAATGGAGCGCATCAAGAAATATAGAAATATTGTCTTCGCACTAACAAAATAACCCAATAATGTGTTGGATGGATTACGAATACTTGGAAAACAAAAGATAAAGCTTGAAGTCATTTCCCTCATATAACTTTGGTGTGTACGGCATCGAATCTTATTCTTGATTTATGTCCATATTGGGTATTAATTTAAAATAAGTTATGTGTTTGTACAATTTTGTAATTGTAAGCATTTTCATCGTAAGTAACACCTGACGTGAATTGTGCTCTATGTAGACTAATAATAATAGCTTATATTTTCTTTTAATTAATTAATTTTTGATTACAGCTTGGTTCCACACTGTATTTTTGGTACAAGTATGGAATTTTCAGCGTGGATATCGGTAGCCCAAATTTCGCAGGCCGACCATAGACATCAGGTGTGCGTCGGCAGGGGATCGAACCTCGGACCATGTGCATGGTCGGTGAGAGTCCTAACCGCTGTGCCACCGATGCACCGACGAGTGCGCACAAGAAATGCAAGTCATTTTTACATGCACGATCAGTTATGTTATAAGCTACAATCGTGAAGCATTATAAATTAATACTTAGAATCGGTATAAAGGTATATTCCACAGCTGTAATCCAGGATACGTCGTAGAGGAAAGTAATCGGTAATTCACGAGGCATTTGTAGGACATGGGACCAGTAGTGTTTACAGATCACTTGTCATTGTAAGTGTTCAAATATCTACATTCTTTGTTCTTGTACAAAAAGTTATATGGAAACTAAAGTGGTGAGAGAAAAAAGAAGACAAACGACAGCAGCTCAGAAGAAAGCGCATGGAGTCCTCAAGGAGTGATTTATATATATATATATATATATATATATATATATATATATATATATATAATGAAAGTAACTATGATTATTTTGGTACACTAACTGACTAGTCCTGTTATGCTAACTTTTATATTATTTGTGAACTAATATTAATATCCTGTGTAGAAATGTTTATTATGTCCTTCCAGTAATATTAACATTTATAATTGCAGTTTGTTGTAACTTATATGTTTAATGAGCTTCAAATATCTATGAGGGGTGAAAAAGAGGGTGTAGGAATGAGACTCAGGAGTGCATTGTCATCTTTGAGCAGTCTCCTAACTGAGGGGATGAAGTGTTTGCATCACGAACATTAGCTGCTAGTCTATTCCAAATGATTGAAAACTTATTTTAGAAGTTGGGCTGCATGTGAGTCTGACAACTAGATTGTCGTGATTTCTAAGTTGCAACTAATGACAAAGGCACGTTTAATTATTGACCTGGAGAAGTGCAAGAGAAGATTAATCAGCTTGTAGTAGAGAATAAGGCTTGGCTTAAGACGTATTTCCCAGAGGGGTTCTATTTTCAGTCTGTCGCAACGCTCGTAGTAGTTGAGAGTACGTTCTAAACCAAGAGTTCTTGAGGTAAATTGCCGTTGCACTCCCGCTAATTAGGCTTGTCATTCTGTCGCCGTCCACATGGAATAAACGACGTGTATCCTGAAATAGGACGAAAACATATTCTGTATAATAAAACCCTACTTTCATAACAAAAGAAATTGTGATTTATTGCATCATTGGACCCTACGCGTTTTAGGTGTATCATAAACACGTTGTTTAGAAAACGTAAATTACTCGTATATCTGATATAGAGATCTACGACTAAGTTGAGTTTTGATAGTCTTTGCTCATTTTCTTCACGAGTTAGGTCAAGATTACTGTTTCCAATGTAAATCCAGCCGCGTTTGTCAATGCTGAACTTCAGACAGGATTCAACACACCATGCTGTGAGACTACTTAGTTCAAGACGTGGTTTACTTACCATATCCTTTAATCTATGACTGTACCTGGAGTAAACAACTTTGAGGTGATCAGCACATAGGAATGGTTTACCTGAGGTGAAGCAGTCAGTCACAAATCTTGTCAATGCAGAATGTAAACAAAAGTGGACCTAGGACACTAACCTGCACAACCCGAATTGTGATCTGACTAGGATGAGGCAATACTCACCCGACTTTGGTTATTCGTACCCTGTTGCTTGGAAATGACTTTAACCAGTTCAGTAGTGGATTGAGAATTCCACATGAGTACAGCTTCTCAAAGAGAATACTGTGAGATACCATGTCAAATATCCTAGATAGTGTCGAAGTAGAGAACAACGACTAGCTTACGTGCTTCGCGACTACCAGTGATGCAGTTGAAAAGGTCGAAGTGGCAAGTAATTCAGGAGCTGTTTTTGAGAAATCCATGTTGAGACCTTCTAACAAGATCTTCCCCAAGTAGATAATCTGACAACTCATTCATCTGCAGCAACTTTCTCCATGATTAGCCAGATACCTGGCGTTATGTTTATATATCTGTAATTGTGAACGTTTGCCTTATCACGAGATTTGTAGTGTGGAATTGTGAAGCTAGTTTTCCACTCATTAAAGTAAGTGTCAGTGTCCACAGATATTGTGAAGAACTTGAAGAGTAGGAGAGGAATGTTTCACCCACTGACTGTCCTCGAAAATTATTGAAGCAAGGCCATCCGGTCCCGTGCTAGTGGAAGGTCTAGGGCTTGTAACTGCTTGACCTATTAACCGATTGGTGAACACTATACACCTGAGGGAGGAGCTAGTAAGGGGTTCAGTTCCACCAGGAGTGTGTCTTTCTAAACTAATGTTCGAAAACCACTCACTGAGAAGTTCACGAATGGTGACAGGCTTATTGTAGACTACTGTGTTTTGAAGTAAGTAGGGGACGTCACTTGTCGGTCGAATTCGTTTTCTAAGTAGTGTTGTGAGGTTTTACACTATGGAGTACTTTTAAGTGCACGTAGCTCTTCGTCAAGGTCCTTTTGACAGCATCGCCACCTGATAGATTCAAGTGACTCGTGGATTGAGTGAAGTAGTGAGCGATATATTCCTAGTGGAATGGTACTGTTTCATCGACTTCCTTAACTTATTGCGGTATGCCCTTGGAATGTATTCAGCTCGGTCCCCACTTAATCTCACTACCTTCTTAGGAGCAACAGTATCTAGACAAAGGGTAACATTCATGTAAAATAGGGACACTACAGCCTCCAACAAGTCAGTGGTAATATAGTCACCCCATTGATAGCGTCGAATTAGCTCTTGAACTAATCACCAGTCTGTATGTTTGTAAATACAGCATATCATACTCCCTGGATCTTGTTTGCTTCCTGTATGCATTGATGAGAAAAGCAGAGAGTAGAGTACCACTCTATGGTCACTACTGGAAAACCTGTGACCATCATGGGTGGAGTCCAGGATTATGTCATGGCAAAACACAACGTCCAACATGTTCTCGCCAAGAGAGGGTGTCTGAACGAGTTGTTTCCATCCGTAACAATCAATAGCGGCAAGTAATTCGTCGAAGAGTTGAGGGCCGGAACTGATTAACCAGTTGACGTCTGTAAGATCGTAGTCCCCTGCAGTTGTTTTGTAATTAGTACCAAACGAGGAGGCGTGTGCAAACGATTTACCTAATAATGTACCAGTTTCTTTGGTTGGTCATGGCGCTCGATAAATACAGCCCATGAGAAGTTTGTACTTATCTGCATGTAAGACGGTCCAGAGTGAATCGGGTACGACATTCAGTATTCCATCTTCCACCTAACTGACTACGAATGAGCTGTGTATAAACAAAATGTATACATATGAGACATCTCTCATCACTCTCGAAATCTCTAGTTGCACGACGTAGGGTGTTATCATCTATACCTATATGCACATCAAGTATGGAGGATGAACACCATAATTCAGTAATCAGAGCTGTAGTAGGCTTGGCGATTAATACTAATGTCCTTAGTTCAGATATCCTATTGATTAGGGAACGTGCAATTATTAGTAATATCGTGAATAAGTCACGGGACACTACAAACTGGCTTAAAATATCACCATAACCTAATTCTATTTGTGCGTCAGCACCGTGAGAGTTTATGAATGATAAGGGGGCGGACTGGGTGTCCATACATTGTGGTTAGAGTGTGACGAGTTGGTCCTAGGTGACATGGGTCGTACCAGTGATTCAGGACACCTAAAAAATTGACTGTGTGTTCCTGGATGTACGGGTAGTAGTGGGCTAAGCTGGGTTGCGGATTAAGAGGCACAACATTGTAAGGTCTAGCCATCAATCTGCTATTCGTCATACCGGTACGCGTCTTGGTGTTGTTTTTATAACCAGAAAAATATTGTTGGGAAACGTGCTTCGGTTTCAGGATTTTGGGACTTAAGTTTCTACCAGGCGGAGTATGCTGAAAACCACCAAATGTACTTGTGTTTTGAGAGGATATCTTCGTACCAAGTGTGGGTTTGTTGACACGCTAACTCTCAGCAGGCTTATTGAATATAAAGCAATATTTACCATCATTAGACTCAATCCTGCGAAATGTCTTCACCGTGGTGAGATTACAACATTTAGGTGAAGATTTCTTAGAACAATTTTCAGCCGTTCTAGCTATTTTACCACCTTTCAGTGAGACTTTATTTATAGGGATAGTGATATCTAAATCAGTTCTCAGTCCCATTGGTAGGCATGCTTCTTGTGTAGTTCGCTGAATATTACTGTCAGTACTAGGTGACTGTTGCGATATATGATCCACCTTCGGTGAATTTAAGCCAGAGGAGGTGACCAGATTATTACTACGCATTATTCTGCGTTGACACGTTGTTTTATCATGAGTCTTAAATAATTCTGAAATTTAGTAAATTCACCAGCATCAGCAGAATTACTGCAAATAAATATGACGGGAAAATTGGACTGAGTCGAATTACTACGATGTATTTTGCATTCAC